ATAATTCTATTTGTTTTTTCTTCAGCGAGTTTGCTGAGCGAGTGACCAGTTATCGATTCTCCGGTCACCTGTTAAATCGGTTAAGCTGTTATAATTTGTTTGTTTTGATACTTTGTCTTTCGTTACCTGTTCCTTATGATTGTTTCGCTCGTTGTTCATATATAACATATATTCGATCGCCGACTTTTGTTTCTCAAATTAATTTATATGTTTAAAATAAATTGAAATATAAAATAAATTTAAGTTCCTGTATTTATCGTCACAGTTAAAATAATCTTGAACCCACAAAAATTGATATCGAATATTTTATTTTTGAAAGTTGCAAATACTACAGTTTAACAGATAATGTATATTATAATAGAAACTTTTAATTGTTTTTTTATTACTAGATTATTAAAATTCTGATTTCCAAATTTTCTCATACTTTTTATTATTTATAAAAAAATATCTGTATATATTTTAATACTTAAATTTATTTTGAAGTTGTGCTGACATTGAGTAAAATAACTTTATCAGAATGAAAAATTAAATTTAATTTTTGTTGTTGAAAATTATATATATAATTAAGAAGAATAAAGAATAGAATGATTGTTTTTAATCTGTATTCGATATATCCTCTTAAAAGAAGTATAATAAAAGCTTGAAAAATTAATTTGTTATGTGTAAAATGAATCTTAGTGACAAATAATTAGTCGAATCGTTACGATTCGACCATCATTTCTCACTTGGAATATAAACAAACAACACAAGTTAAAGTAACATAATACTAAATATTTTACGTAAAATTTTTTACATAAATATTTTATATAAACATTCAAACGCATGTTAATTTAAATAAAAAACGCATAAACACTAGTTTATATCGATTTAATAAGATATTTCATTAAAGTTGAAAAATTTCAAATATATTTAAATTGAAAATTATTAAAATTTAATTTCTACTTATTATTAAATTGTATTTCTCAATGTATTCTATTATCAGTATATGTACAAAATAGTCGTTAAAATAAAAATTCGGTTAATTAAAGTTATATAAACATAATTGAAATAGGGCGACTTAAAATTATGATCATATTCATAGCATCAAGCAACTGTCTTCGCCAAAATTAACAATTTGACAATTATCAATGAAAATATAGAAATAAAATCAAAAGCGCGCGCCAAACGCGCTCTTGTGTCGTCTAGTGATTTAAAAGACATCAATACTATATTTAAATTCTCTATTTGTCTTTTGCTTACAGTGTGCTTTACAGATTTAAAATTATATTTTTTCTAACATGATAATATTTCTAAAGCTATTATTAAGTAGCGGGTTAATGTTCATCGCTGACACGGCTTTTATGCATAATGAATCATCCTTATGCTATGATCCATCAAATATATAAAACCAAACCATTACGATATCAAGTTTATATCATGTATTGAAGAAAACATTTCTATGGAGAATACAATATCAGCATAAACATTCTTAACAAAACACAAAATATATTGTTCAACAACGTATATTTAGAAAAATATATTTTAACAATATAGTTTTAATTGGAAATTTAGAAAAATATCATGAGAATGCTAAATATACAGTTATAAACCGACATTTGATATTGAAGAAGACATAATTGATGTTTCTTTTAAGGATGAATTTTACCAGAAATTACATTTTAAATATTAAATATAATGGTTTTACTGATGACGTCTTTAGAATTTTCGACATAAGAAAAAAAATTTGTAAGTAAATTATATGTGTTTATGAAAACAATGTACATGTGCATTTACATGAAACCTTGTTATTATTACATATTATTTATGCATTAAATGTTTCAAAAATTATAATATTTCATAAAATTTAAATTTAAAGACGATTTTTCTATACTTTAGTACATATTATTACATATTACATTTATACATTTTATAAATCCCAACATTTTGAGGCTTGCTAAAAATTTTTCATTCATTTATGTTCTTTAAAATGTATAGTTTGGTAGCTGCTACTCATTTTCATATAATAGAGCGCCCGACAATGTCGAAATCATATTGGGATCAAAAGTATTTATACTCAGGAGCAACCTTTAACATATCTATAGGATGTTATCAATGCACGGCTTTGTCAAATATGCCATTGCGAAATACGGAAGAAAATAAGTACAATATGTTATGGACACACTTTGATACCACACCTGCAATGTCGCCGTATCTTGCAACAATAATTGTGTCCAATTGCTTAACACGTATTGATAATAATACTCACATATTCAAATATGGTGCAGAAACGAAACTGTATTTCACATGGAATTTGCAAAAAAATGTAGCTGAAAATATCACGTTGTTTTATAAAACTAATGGAAACAACATTCGAACAATATTTCGAATGTGACTCATGTTGCAATAACCAAATTTCCCTGATAATGACATAACAGTTTTGGGACTTTGTTTTTTATAAGTGAGTACAAGTGCTTAAAATACATTAAAAATAAAATTATATTAGTATGCAAAATGATGAAATTTAAAAACAAGTATACCTTTTGTGTCTGTAAACGTCAAAAGTATAAAATATTATGAAAACAACAATTTTAAGTAGTAAAAATTAAGTTTATTCTTCTAATACTACAAAGTTTGAGTTTATTGTTGTAAAATACATACATAAGAAAAAAAGTTTTTTATGCTATATCGTATTTCCTAAAGGTAAATGTTAAATTGTAATAAACCTGTAGAAGAAATGACATTTTTTTGTTCATTTAAAAATATAGTTATTTATCAATGATACACAATAACACAAAATCATTGTTTTGTACGTAAATTAAAAATTTAAAGAATTATTATTGATATGATTAAAATACTGATTTGCTACATTGTACTCATAAGTTTGTAAATTGTACATCTAACAATAAAATTAAAAAATTATAACAAAAATAAAATTTTATTTTCTATAAAAGTTCTCAGTCTAACATTTAAATATAACGTTCAGCGAAATGGATATTGTTTACGATAAAAAATTATATCCTGTTGCTCACAAAATCGAAGTAATTCAATTAGTAGGACATAAAGTGACACAGCATTGGTTTTATAATCTGAACATCCATTTAAATTGGCTTGGTTTAATAAAGCTCTTACTACATTGCTTGCAACGTATACTGTCAATGAGGTTATTTTAAATATTTTTAATGCTATCACGCTCCCACTTTCTCGAAACGATAACATACTGAAGCATTTATATAACAAGATTTTCGTATATCAAATTCTTTTTACAAAATGTTTAAATTTTTGCTAAATTTTTTTAAAAACATTTTACAATATATACATATGTATACGATATTAAACTGTTTTTTAAAAATACTTTTTCAAATATTTTACATTCATATAAATATAATGTAAAGTATGAAAAATTATTTTATATTTTAACACCACTTAATCTGATACTTTTAAATTATTGTGAAATCTAAAATAAAATAAATTAATCAGAAACTAGTACACCCGATATTTATTTTGAATATTTTGATAAAGAGAATTCTGCGATATAATATCATGAGATAATAATTTTAAAAATATGTAATATTTATTAATTATATTAATACAAAATTTGAGATTTTATTATTATATTTATTCGTATGTGTTTTTCAAAGTGAGAAAGTAATTTTCTTAACATAGAAGAACCGCTAATGATATTAATATTTCCTTCTAATGCTTGCATTTTTAGAGCAATTATATTGATATATTAATAATTTTTTTACAGATTTATCCAGATAATCGAATAATAAATTTATTTGTTGTTCAAAATCAACATACTTCTTTTTATTTGGATGATTATGATATGTGGAATTCTACTTCACAAGATGACAGTTTATTGAAAATTCGCGCATCCATCAGAGGTATAACGTAATATAATAAAATAATCTGCGTAAATTTTGAACTATTAATATTATAAAAATATGTGTAAAGTTATAAGATAATTAATTGTTTATATGGATTTTATTAGAAATAAAGTTATTAAAGTACACACACATGCATATATGTGTATTCTTTAATTAATATTTAAGTATATACATACAGGTATATATATGTACACAAAATGTCCGATAATAATCGCGCATATGTGTGTAGAGGATATTAATTGAATAGTCCTTTTTTTAATGTTTTGCTGTTTTCGTAAGAATTAACGAAAAATTTACTTTTAAATAAAATGATAAACGGTGCGGCAGTAGAAGACATTTCACTGCGATTACTATACCTTGTATACATACATACATACATACATTTATATATGGCACAAGGCACATATTATCTTAGTAGTATCCGACGAAATAAATGACGCAAACGTCATATATTTCAGATGTACGGTGTCGTTACTAAGTCGCTATCTCATATTTAGAACCTATCTCATAATCGGTACCTTGACCCTATAAATATATGAGTCATTCCACGTCAAATCGGCCACCCTCTTCCCCACCCAAAATTGTATTGAAGTAAATTTAACTTCCAAGGTACCAAAACTTAGCTTGAAGCATCTAATTTTTAATGCCGTGTAGCGATTATGAAAAATGTTAAATAATGATTTTGGTTTTGTCCGTGATATGAAAAATGGTATTTATTCTCTAATTCAAATCTTTACTATTTCCTTACAAATGAAGTACAAAATAAGTCATTTTTAATATAATTTGATCAGCTGAATCCGAATCTAAAGTCAAAAACAAAATATATAAAAAAAATAATAATTAATTGTTATTGATAAATAATAATTTGCAAATAAATAATTAGTTGTTATTGATATTTACCTATAAAAAATAAAATTGTTTATTTTTTTAAAAATGCTTTTTTCTCTTTTTTATATGACATTTTTGCGCTAAAATATTAACTATAGTTATCGTATTATTCACAATTGCACATTTGGCAGTATCAACAATATTTTTAATATTTAATGAAAAAGTTTTCTGCATTTACACCGGATTAATATTATCTGCAATTTTTTTTCAGTCCCAAATTTTACATGTTAAATAATAAAAATTTTTTAAATTTAATTTAAAAGATTTAAAAACTTAAAAATTTAAAAACTTAAAAGACAGAAAATACATACCATTTTTATATAACTGACAGAACCAAAGTCATTATTTAACATTTTTTAAATCGCCACACGGCATAAAAATTACACATATATAATTTTGCTTTGTATATCACTATGTTTACATGTAATCATTATAATAATTATATATTTATAATATATCTTATTTATAATTTTGATGTAAATTGTAGCACCCTTTATAGTGCGCATGATAGAATACGCCGTCACCAAAGTAATATTTTGGAATAGCATTCGATCATATGCAAACAAAACGTGAGTAAGACAATACAGAATATAATATAAAAAAATAATATAATATAAATATATTATGTAAATAATTTTTAATAATATAAACTTTATATAATGTCCTTTATTATTTCGCTTCTCCTGATATTTCATATTATTTTTTTTTAGTTTTACAATTTTGCTATTTTCCTAGTTCTGCTACTATAAATTTACTTTTACTTTCATTACTTTTACTGAACCACTTTTGTTGAATAAATTGTTGTTTTGTCACTTTTATATATATATATATATATATATATATATATATACATATTCATTGTTGTTTTTATATTTTTGTTTAATAATTTACTATTTTTCAAAATAATTTATAAATTAATTTTTATTCTTTTTAATATTTTCTATATCTCCCAGCAAACACCGATATGTATTGTTACATTGCTATAATAAAACGGAATATAACAGGTAATATAACGTGTACGTTATGTAACATCCATGTTAGTTGTAATTTCCCACTCATAGATGTAACATTTTAATATAACATATATTACATTGTAGTTATATTGTAATTATATACCAAATAGCACATGGATGTATTGATAAGTCAGTGCTATCTTGAGATATAATGACAATATAACTACAATGTAATATATGTAATATTAAAAATGTTACATCTATGAGGGAAATTACAATTAACATATATGTTACATGTAACATGCTTGAGTATATAACATTTATATACTGTATTTGCTGGGCCTCTTTATTGCTTTTTTTCATTTTTATTTCTTTCGTAGAACTTTCTTCTTTATTATATTTTTATTATTTTTCGTTTGTCTTTATACATTTCATTATACAAACAATTTTAACATATTTATAATGTTTTTTTACATAATTTACATACTTTGTGAATTTAGCCAATTTGATCGTCAAAATTTTATGACTTTCCTCGATGAAGTTGTTGCTAATGCAAACAAGCAATATGTATCACTAATTAGTAATATATTATTACAAACAATGAAATATTGGACTTTGGAAGACCATTGTCCTCTCATCAAAGTAGTTCGAAGTTATAATGAGCCTTTGAGCAAAATGCATGTTTCGATACAAAATTCCGACACGTTAAAAATGTATTGCATGCCTGTAACTTTTACTACTCACACGTATCTCAATTTTACAAGTTTTATTCACTATCCGCTATGCAAAGCAATAGATTTAAATCATACATTCTCACGTAAAGAGGAAGGTTGGATAATATTTAATATACAACAAATTGGTAAAATATTAAACAATATTAAAACAAAAATATTAAACGCAAATGTTTAAAATTAAGTATATATTAATTATAAAATTATTCAGAATAATAAAAATTGTTAAAATTTATTTACTATTCGACAGGATATTATCGCGTTAACTATGATGATGAGAATTGGCAAAGAATTTCAAATTATCTAAACTCTGATAATTTTACGAAAATTCATGTTCTTAATCGTGCCCAAATTATCGATGATGCATTTCATTTAATGATAGCAGACCACCTCAAGATCTCTATATTCTGGGATATCACATCGTATTTGAGTAAAGAAGAAGATTATATAGCATGGTATCCTATGTTTAAAGCTCTGGAATACATGTTTAATACTTTTCCTGCTGCGATACTGGAAGAAAGCGATTTGAGTTTTATGGTAAATATTAATAGAGTTCAATAAAAATGTTACATTTCGGATATTTGCATATACTCTCATTCATCACTAATAATTTAAATATTTATAACCATAAAAATATATCCAGCAACGATAAAATTTTACATATTATTACGTCACAAATAAATGTGCAAACATTTCAGTTTGAATAATCACTCACGCGAAGAACAGTCCCCAAAGTGTATGATTTTCACTACTGTCAATAATATTGATATATAACATTGTTATATAGCTAGGTGCTTAAAATCATTGTCAATGAACTATAATTACAAACTTATTAACAAAGAAATGTATATGTAAATATTTTTAGAAAAGAATAAGAATCATATTAAGTAAGATACTTATAAAAATCAAATATGAAGAAATTGATGATTCAAACGAACTTATAACATGTTTACGACAAGAAGCTGCAAGATGGGCATGTTTTTTGGTGAGAACACTTGTACGGAAAAAGCGAAAAATAAATTAAAACAACATCTCCAAGATCCTATAAAACACAGGTAAATTATGTTACATATTTTTAGCCTTTCTTACTCAAATTTTCTTGTAGGTATCTTCTATAATGTTCAAATGAGTTGATACGCTAATCTTTAATAAGAAAATTAAATTCTTTTTATATTGTAGACTTTTGCCATGGTGGAGGGAATGGACATATTGTAGAGGTTTAATGAAAACTACGATAAATGACAATACTTGGACATCAGTGTATACCAGAGAATTAAAAAAAAATGACACTAAATTTTTAAAATATGTGACTTGCATTGAAGATACTTATTTTATCAAGGATTATTTATTAAATTATAAACAGTACACTTATACAAAACAGAAAGATCAATTTCTCGCTAACATTTTCTTAAATATTATTACGAAGCATGCGAAGAATCCAATTATATTGATGTATATATTAGATAAGTTTAACGAAATAAAACCAAAGTAAAGTGACATATTTTTATAAATATTTTGTACAAAAGTTTATTATATGTATTATATATATATACATTTGATTTTTTTTTGTTTTTAGAAATCTTAATATAATTGCAGCATTAATTATTATGATTAATAACGTATATTCCGAATTTTTAGCTAAGGTAAAAATTTTACATATTTAAATATGTATACAAAATATGATAATAATACGATATTAATAATTATTATTTAATATTTAAAATAATTTTGATAATGTTACCATAACGTTGTTTATTAATAAAGGTATTAAAATTATACATTTTAGTCAATAGAGAAACTTTCTGAATTTATTGTAGAAGCTAACGTAATTGAAGTGAACACAGAAGATCAATTCAAAAATATCAAATAAAAGAGGTAAATTTAATATATGTATATTATTATGAAAAGCGAAAGAAAATAAAATATTGTTCTATCTGATTAATTTCTGAATATTATTTTTATATTTGTTTATTTGTTATATAATCAGTATGTTGATTTTATTATGTCAATATTTGTTTATATATATAAAGGTTTTCATAATGCGGAATAAGATTACTATCCGATTTATATATTTGCCTTTTTATATTTACAAAACGTTATAACTGCATGCATCAAGATTTTTATGTTATTGCGATCTTTTTGTTTGAAGTTTAAATTATATATTATTACAGAAATTAATTATTTTTTACATTCAATATTATTAATTATGTAGAATTTGTAATTGATTAGCATTTTTTAGTTTATAATAAATAACATGACACAATTCTTTTCTCTCTCTCTCTCTCGCTCTCTCTCTCTCTCTCTCTCTCTCTCTCTAATTTTAAAAAATTATTTAAATAAAATATTAATCTTAATATATATTATATATATATATATATATATATATATATATATATATCCATATTAATAAAAAAATATTGAAAAACGATATAAAACTGCAAGGTCAAAAAAATATTGCATAACTTGTCACATAGCAATAACATAGCAATAACATTTGTCACAAGTTTAAAAACACATATTAAAGAATATCAACGCGCATTGAAAAAATTATTATATTAAAAATATTTTTTTTTTATACAGCTATATAAATCATTTATTTGATACAAATAAATATTTATCTGTATTAAAAGAATTTTCTTACATCAAACAATAAATTTTTTTCACATTTAATCGATATTATTAGTTTCAAATAAATAATTTTTATTATACAGAAGTATTGAATTAAATATTTTATTTAAATTAATAAAAATTTCATTGCGCTATCAGAGAGATTTGATAAAATAAACTTTGTTTAAAATTTTTAGAGGCCTTCTATGTATAACATAATATATGTTCGGAAGATAAAAATATAATAATTATTATATAATTATCAATTATAGAATATTTTAATTTTTCAAAGAAATTCGCAATATAAATTCGCAACAATTGTTGTCACATCTGATTTGATGTATCGCGATAGTTCATCGGAAAGTCACGATTTATAATCAAAATTGTATTCTATTTTGGCTTTATCCTTAGTTTATTTATTTAAAAAACACAATATTGTGCATAAAGACATTTATATAAATAAATATATAGATCGAACAAAATATAAAATAACCTATTTTAATAACGTATTGTTGTTATTTCAGAACCAAGGTTTCTCTTCCGAAAAATATACTTTATACAATATTTATAGAATTTAAAAGAAGCGTCGTGTCGTAAGTACATGGTGTTATTTCAAATAGAGTATTTTTGAGATTTGATAGTTATCATTATTTTTTAAACGTTTTATGTTCTTTTCTAACAAAAATATAAAACATCTCGTAATATGTATTTATCTTTCAATATTATTTTATTTTAATAACCTACTGCACAAAATAATGTGGATAAATTGATTGGTATAAGAAACACATTCCAATGATTTAAAAATATTGCAATTCGTAGCAATGTGCAATTACACACATTTTTTAATAATGATATATTTATAATAAATTGAATTCTATTACTATTCTGTGCAAAAAATTATTAAGATAAAATTATCGAAGGGTGAGTATATGACGAGAATTAACACCATATTTTTAGTGAAAATGTTTTTCGAAATAAGTCATATAAATGTGTATAAATAATGCCTATTTATTAGATTAATTAAGCAAAATTTCAATGTGCTCAATTAAGACAACAGTTACACAAAAATGCCGCCACATACACAAATATATATATGTAAATATATATACATATAACGACCGAAAAAATTTTGTTGACCTAACACATTATATTTATCATGAAAACACGTACAGAGAATCAGTTAGTCTTAATCTTAATAATGACATATTTATACTAATTGAATTATTAAGATAAAATTATCGAAGGATGAGTATATGACGAGAAAGTACACAATATTTTTAGCAAATATCTTTTTTGAAATAAGTCATATAAATGTGTATATAAATAATGCCTAATACTATTTGATTAATTGGGCAAAAGTTAAATGTGCTAAATTAAATCAACCGTTACACACAAATGCCGTCATACACCCAAATATATATATATATATATATAACGACCTTAGAAGTTTTGTTGATTTAACACATCATATTTAGCATGAAGACACGTCCAGAGAATCAGTCAGTCTTTCGTGGTCTTTCGAATCACGTCGCTGTAGATATAATATACTTTTAATAAAGTGTGTGAATATATTATATTCTTCCACATTGCATACTTCTAAAGCATTAATTTGCTGCAGTTTATTTTTAAAACAATATATAGTTTTAATTAATATAATTTTCTAATTAACATTCTGTTTCGAAATATTCGGTAAGTCAAAACAATTTTCATACATATAAAACATATATGTGTCTACAAATTCAAGAAAATTTAATCATACGGTAGGACGGAATTTTATAGAATTTCCGACATATGTATAGAAATAAAGAGAATAGTTTTATTCAAAATTATTTGTAAATTTTAATCCAGAGATAATTTCAACTAATATCGATAATATAATATTTTACGAATTGTAATATGTTTGGTGAATTATTAGTTTAATTAGGTGAAATGTTGTAATAAATTTAGAGACGTTGTATTATCGTTATTCACTTTAATTCTGCATTTAAAATATTATAAATGACTTACAATAACCGCAAGGTATAACTTTCGCTTGCGATATATAATTCTATTTGTTCTTTCTTTAGCGAATTTGCTGAGCGAGTGACAAGTTATCGATTCTCCGGTCATCTGCTTATATCGATTAAGCTGTTATAATTTGTTTGTTTTGATACTTTGCCTTTCGTTACCTGTTCTTTATTATTGTTTCGTTCGTTGTCATATATATACATATATTCGATCGCCGACTTTCGTTCTCAATTCAATTTAATATTTTAAAATAAAATTGAAATATAAAATAAATTATAGTTCCGGTATTTATCATCGCAGTTGAAGTAATCTTCAACCCACAAAAGTTTGATATCGAATATTTAATTTTTGAAAGTTGCAAATACTACAGTTAACAGATAATGTATATTATAATGGACACTTTTAATTGTCTTTTCATTACTAGTTTATTAAAATTCTGTTTTCCAAAATTTCTCGTATCTTCTATTTTTTATAAAAAAATATCTGTATGTCTTTTAATACTTAAATTAATTTTGAAGTTGTGCATTGAAGTAAAAGAACTTTGTCAAAAATGAAAAATCAAATATTAAATTTTGTTGTTGAAAATTATATATATAATTAAGAAGAATAAAAAATAGAGCAATTATTTTTATAATCTGTATTCTATATATCCCCTTATAAGGGGTATTATGAAAATTTGAAAAAATTTATTTTGTTAAGTGAAAAATAAATACAAATACAACACTAAAAAATAAATAGAACTATATTAATTATCAAGTTTGAAGTAGACATAATACTAAATATTTTACGTAAAATTTTTTACAGAATTATTTTATGTAAAACGTTCAAAACGTACATTAATATTGAAAACGCATAAACACTAATTTATATCAATTTAATAAGATATTCAATTAAAGTTGAAACGTTTTAATTATATTAAAATTGTAAAAATTATTAAAATTTAATTATTACTCATTATTAAGTTGTATTTCTCAAATGTATTAGTATTCTATCATCAGTATATATACAAATAATTGTCATAATTAAAATACGCTAATTAAAGTTATATGAACATAATTGAAATTTGGCGACTTAAAATTATGATCATATTCGTAGCATCAAGCAACCGTCTTCGTCAAAATTAACAATTTGACAATTGTAAAATGAATAATAGAAATAATATCAGAAACGCATGCGAAGCGCGCTCTGTGTCGTCTATAGTAATTCAAAAAAGATTTAATTAAAACTATAATTAATTTCTTTTTTTGTTTACAGTGTGCTTTACAGATTTAAAATAAATATTTCTTTTTCAACATGATGATATTTTTAACACTATTATTAAGTAGCGAGTTAATGTTAATTGCTGAGACGGCTTTTATTTTAATGAATCATTTTTATGGTATCAACTATCAAAATATATAAAACCAAACCATTACGATATCAAGTTTACATCACATATTGATGAAAACGTTGTAATTGGAGAATACAAAATCAGCATAAGCATTCTTAACAAAACGCAAAATATATTGATCAACAACGTATATTCAGAAATATTATATGTTCACAATATAGTTTTAAGTAGAAATTTAGAAAAATATCATGAGGATGCTAACTATACAGTTTATAAGTCGACATATAAAGTTGAAGAAAACATAATTGATGTTTCTTTTGATGATGAGTTATTACCAGGAAATTACATTTTTTATATTAAATATGCTGGTTTAACTGATAAGTCTTTAGAATTTTCAACGCCAAAGAAAAACTTACGTAAGTAAATAATATGTTTATTAAAATCAATATGCAATGTGCAATTATATGAAACCTTGTATAATTAATATATATTATTTACGTATTAAATGTTTCAAAAATTAATATATATCATGGAATTTAAATATAAAGACGATTATGCTATACCTGTAGTACATATTATTACATATTACATTTATACATTTTTAAATCCCAATGCTTGCTAAAAATGTTTCATTAATTTATGTTCTTTGACATGTATAGTTTGGTAGCTGCTTCTCATTTTCATATAATAGACAACCAACGAATTTTGTCATCGTGTTGGGATCAACAGTATTTATTCTTAGAACCAACCTTTAACATATCTATGTACATAGAATGTAACCAATGCACGGCTTTGTCAAATATGCCATTGCGGCATACGGAAAAATATATGAATAATATGTTATTGACACACTTCAATACCACATCTGGAATTTCGCTGTATCATGCAACAATAGTTGTGTCCAGTTACCCATTACGTGTTTATGATACTCAAAATAGATACATTCAAATGTGGTGCAGAAGTGAATCTATATTTCACATAGAATTTGCAAAAAATGTAGCTGAATATTTCACGATGTTCTGGAATCATGATTGGATACAACGTTTGAACGATATTCCGAAAGTGACTCATGTTGCAATTTCAAATTTTCCTGATAGTGACATAATAATTTTCGGACTTATTTTTTATAAGTGAGTACAAGTGCTTAAAATTACATTAAAAATAGAATTATATTAGTATGAAAAATGATAAAATTTAAAACCATGTATATCTTTTGTTTTTCTAAACGTTCGAAAGTATAAGATATTGTTGAAACAAACAATTTTAAGTAATAAGAATTAAGTTTATTCTTATAATTCAAAAAGTTTAAGTTTATTGTTCTAATATACATACATAACGGGAAAAGTGTTCATGCTATATCGTAACCCTTAAGGTAAATGTTAAAATTATAATAAACCTCTAAAAAAAATGATATTTTTTTTATTCATTGAAAAATATAGTTATTTATCAATGATACGCAATAACACAAAATCATTGTTTTATATTTAAATTAAAAATTTTTTAAATATTATTTGATATGATTTACAATACTGATTTGCTAAATTGTACCCATGGATTTGTAAATCGTACATCTAACAATAAAATTAGAAAATTATAACAAAAATAAAGTTTTATTTTCTATAAAAGTTCTCAGTCTAACATTTAAATATTACTTTCAGCGAAATGGATATTGTTTACGATAAAAATTTATATCCTGTTGCTCGCAAAATCGAAGTATCTCGATTAGTAGGACATAAAGTGACACAGCAATGGTTTTATAATCTGAGCAATCCGTGTGGATCGGCTTTTTGCTTTAATAAAGCTCTTACTACATGGCTTACAACGTATGCTCTCAATTTGGTAATTGTAAATATTTTTAACGCTATCACGCTCCCACTTTCTTGGAAACGATAACATACTTAAGCATTTATATAGCAAGATTTTTGTATATCAAACTCTTTACATTCATATAAATATAATGTAAAGTATGAAAAATTATTTTATATTTTAACACCACTTAATCTGATACTTTTAAATTATTGTGAAATCTAAAATAAATTAAATTAATCAGAAACTAGTACACCCGATATTTATTTTGAATATTTTGATAAAGAGAATTCTGCGATATAATATCATGAGATAATAATTTTAAAAATATGTAATATTTATTAATTATATTAATACAAAATTTGAGATTTTATTATTATATTTATTCGTATGTGTTTTTCAAAATGAGAAAGTGATTTTTTTTAACATAGAAGAACCGCTAATGATATTAGTATTTTCTTCTAATGCTTGCATTTTCAGAGCGGTTATATCGATATATTAATAATTTTTTTTATAGATTTATCCAGATAATGGAGCAACAAATTTATTTGTTGTCCAAAATCAACATACTTCTTTTTATTTGGATGATTATGATATGTGGAATTCTACTTCACAAGATGACAGTTTATTGAAAATTCGCGAATCCATCAGAGGTATAACGTAATATAATAAAATAATCTGCGTAAATTTTGAACTATTAATATTATTAAAATATGTGTGTCTAGTTATAGGATAATTAATTCTTTATCTGGATTTTATTAAAAAAATGAGATTATAAAAGTACACACACACACACAGACACACGTACATATTTATGTATATTCTTTAATTAATATTTAAAATATATATACATATATAGGTATATATATATATATAAATTTTGTTTTATAATATCATTACGTTTACGTGTCCACGTGCCTCACCTTTTCCTACTTTCTCCTTTCTAACTCCTTACCCCTTTATCCTCTCCTATCCTTTCAATCTCTTCTCCTCTTTTTTCTACACCCTCTCACCTCTTATCTCCTATTCACCTCACCCCTTTTCTCACTCTTTCCTCACAAATACCTGCCACGCTTTCACACACCTGTCACTCACTCTCTTACCTGAACCGGAAGCCATATCATTACGTTTACATGTAACCATTATAATAAATATATATATTTATAATATATCTAATTTATAATTCTGATGTAAATTGTAGCACCCTGTATACTGCGCATGATACAACACGCCGTAACCAAAGAAATATTTTGGAAAGGCATTCGCTTATATACAAATACGTGAGTAATATATTATAGAATGTAATATAAGAACAGAAAATTATATAAATCTTAAATAATTTATAATAATACAAATTTTATATAATGTCCCTTATTATTTCGCTTCTTCAGATATTATTTCATATTGTTTTTTTTTTAGTTTTACAATTTCGCTATTTTCCTAGATCTGATTTACTTTTGCTTTCGTTACTTTTACAATGAAAACCGCTTTTATTGAAACAAATTGTTGTTTTTTTTTTTTTTTCATATAATACATATTCAACGTTGTTTTATTTTTTTTCATAATTTATTATTTTTCAAAATAATTTTTAAATTAATTTTTATTCTTTTTATTAATTCCTTTATTGCTTCATATCGTCTATAATTCTTATAATATCTGTTTTTTTTAATTGAATTTTGTGCTACATTTGTTTTTTGATCTTATTTTGAATATATCTATCACGTACATCTCTTTTCCATTATTTCCTTTATTTTTATTTTATTTCTTTTGTAGGACAATCTTTTTTATTATATTTTTATTAATTCTTGTTTTGTTTTTATTTTTATTTGATTTGTTTTATTATTTCTTTTATTAATCATTTTATAACTCTTTCAACACTTTGATCAAATATAATCTGTATTATTAACCCTTGTAGAAATTTTACTAGTAACGCTAATTAATCACTTATTTTGAGTACTTAAAATACTGATATACAGTAATTTAAGTACTCGAAATAAGTGATAAATTGGCATTACTAGTGATACATTTTATGAAAGAATGCCTAACAAATTAAATAAAATTGTTAAATTTTATTTAATATTATGTTATTATCATCATTTGAATATAAGATATATAAATATATAAATAGAAATGCAATTATATTTTGTTTCTTAGTATTTATTAAAATTTTTTATAATATTAAAATTATGCATAAAATTTTAACATATTTTTATAATGTTTTTTTCACATAATTTACATACTTTGTGAATTTAGCCAATTTCATCGTCAAAGTTTTATGACTTTTTTGGAAGAAGTTGTTGCTGATGCAAAAAATGTAGATATTGATATATCATTACAAACAATGAAATATTGGACTTCGGAAAAGCATTGTCCTATCATCAGAATAGAACGAGATTATAATTTTACTTGGGACAGAATGCATATATCCATACAAAATTACGACATATTAAAAATTGATTGCTTACTTGTAACTTATACTACTCAGACATATCCCAATTTTAACGATTTGACTGAATACAATTATATCAAGGTATGCAACTCAACGAATTCATATTCAGTATACTTATATGATGATGGTTGGGTGATAGTCAATATGCAACAAATTGGTAAATATCGATTAATTGACTTATTATGACTTATTACTCGTCTTTATTTTACACATATACACAATTGACATTATTTTATATTTTTTTCTGTTTTATACATTATTAGATATAAATCTGAGATATTTATTATATAATTACAATAGTTTTAAAATGTTTTGTGTAATGTTCTGTATTATTATATATAATTAATAAGATATATATATATATATATATATATCGGCGTTTTCTACATAATATCAATTAATATAAAAAGTTATATCTTTACAAATATTTTATTCTAATAATAGTAAAAATAATTATAAAGTTAATTATATTTAAAATCAATTAATACAAAGTTTCGCTCGTATATTGTAAATACAACTAGTGATAAATAAAAAGGCCAACTTATCGAGCAATTATTAGAGTTGTTCTGTCAAATAAAATTTATTCCATGTATAAACTAAACATAAAACATTATGTGAAAGCTACAAACATTCTATACTCAAACTTAAGCGAAAATTCCAATCATTATAAAATTAACGTTTGAATAAAACTTTCGTACAGTTTCGTGTTACAGAAATTTTACTGATTAGTATAAAATAATTATTATTTATGCACAACTAGAATCAATTTTATTTTACGCTCTATACAACAATATCTTCCATAATTTTATTTTTAATTTATAATTCATTTTCAATAAGTATTTGTATTTTATTAAATTTTTGATACATTTTTAATTTATAATTTATATAAATAAAAATATTAAACAAAAATATTTGAAATTAATTTTTATATTAATTATAAAATTATTCAGAATAATAAAAATTGTTAAAATTTATTTACTATTCGGCAGGATATTATCGCGTTAACTATGATGATGAGAATTGGCAAAAAATTTCAAATTATCTAATCTCTGATAATTTTACGAAAATTCATGTTCTTAATCGTGCCCAAATTATCGATGATGCATTTCATTTAGTGATAGCAGGCCAACTCAAGGCCTCTACATTCTGGAATATCATATCGTATTTGGGTCAAGAAGAAGATTATATAGCATGGTATCCTATGTTTAAAGCTCTGGAATACATGTTTAATACTTTTCCTGCTGTTATACTGAAAGAAAGCAATTCGTCTTATATGGTAAATATTAATAGAGTTCAATGAAAGTGTTACATTTCGGATATTTGCATATACTCTCATTCATCACCAATAATTTAAATACTTACAATCAGAAAAATATATCCAGCAACGATAAAATTTTACATATTATTACGTCACAGATAAATGTGCAAACATTTCAGTTTGAATAATCACTCACGCGAAGAATAGTCTTCAAAATGTATGATTTTCACTACTGTCAAATATATTGATATATAACATTGTTATATAGCTGGGTGCTTAAAATCTTTGTCAATGAACTATAATTATAAACTTATTAACAAAGAAATATATATGTAACTATTTTTAGAAAAGAATAAGAGTCGTATTAAATAAGGTACTTAGAAGAATCAAATATGAAGAAATTGATGATACAGACGAATTTAGAATATGTTTGCGACAAGAAACTGCAAGATGGGCATGTTTTTTCGGTGACATCATTTGTACGAGACAAGCAAAAAATAAATTAGAATACCATCTCCAAGATCCGAAAGAACACAGGTAAATATTGTTATATATATTTAGCTTTTCTTAATCAAATTTCCTTGTAGATATCTCCTATAATGTTCAAATCAGTTGATACGCCAATCTTATTAATAAGAAAATTAAATTCTTTTTATATTTTAGGCTTTGCCATGGTGGACGACATGGACATATTGTAGAGGTTTGATGACAACTACGAGGAATGAGACCACTTTTAGATCAGTGTATATCATAGGATTGATAAAAACTGACTTGAAATTTTCAGAATATTTAGCTTGCATTAACGATACTAATTTAATCAAGGACTATTTAAATTTTAAACAGTACAACAACTATACAAAACAGGAAGATCAATTTCTCGCTAACACTTTCTTACATTTATTACGAAGCATGCGAAGAATCCAATTATACTGACGTATTTATTCGATAATTTTAACGTAATAAAACCAAAGTAATGTGACATATTTTTATAAATATTTTGTATAAAAAGTTTATTATATGTATTATATATACATCTGTTTTTTTTTGTTTTTAGACATGTTAATATAATTGCAGCATTAATTATTATGATTAATAATGTATATTCCGAAAATTTAGCTCTGGTAAAAATTTTACATGTTTAAATATGTATACAAAATATGATAATAATCCGATATTAATAATTATTATTTAATGTTTAAAATAATTTGGATAATATTACCATAACGTTGTTTATTAATAATGGTATTAAAATTATACATTTTAGTCAATAGAGAGACACTCTGAAAGTATTGTAGAAGCTAACGTAATTAAAGTGAATACAGAAAATCAATTTAGAAGACATCGAATATGGGAGGTAAATTTAATAAATATTATTATGAAAAGCAAAAGAAAATGAAATATTGTTCTATCTGATTAATTTCTGAATATTATTTTATATTTGTTTATTTGTTATATAATCAGTATGTTGATTTCATTATGTCAATCTTTGTTTATATATATGAAGGTTTTCATAATGCGGGGAATGAAATTACTATTTATTTAATTATATTATAATTAATGAAACGAGATTTGTTTTAGATGAGTGACCGTGTAATAGATAAGGATGAATTATATTCCTATATTACAATCAAGATTCAAATTATTCGCAAAAAACAAATCGAGAAGCAGAGACAATATTTTGCAAGATTTTTCTTCTAATCGGTGGATGTAAAAAATTGCAGTTTTGCATACGTGGACGTACTTTATATGAATAATTTTATTATATTGTATCTACTATACCTTTTACTGCTCTAAATATTGTTTATTTAGATGTATTAGTATCCGATTTATATATTTGCCTTTTTATATTTACAAAACGTTATAACTGCATGCATCAAAATTTTTATCTTTTTGCGATCTTGTTTGAAGTAGTAAAATTATATATTATTACAGAAATTAATTATTTTTACATTCAATATTATTAATTATGTAGAATTTGTGATTAATTAGCATTTTTAATTTATAATAAATAACATAACACATTTCTCTTTCTCTCTCTCTCTCTCTCTCCCTCCCTAATTTTAAAAAGTTATTTAAATAAAATATTAATCTTAATATATTATATATATATATATATATATATATATTAATAAAAAAATATTGAAAATAACGATATAAAACTGCAACGTCAAAAGAATATTGCATAACTTGTCACATAGCAATAACACAGCAATAACACTTGTCACAAATTTATAATAAGTGCGCGTCTAACATGTGCTTGTTTCAATCAACGCGATGAATTTTAATATTAAAAAATTATCTTATTACTTCATTTGGCTTTTTATTATTCCGTTTCTTACTATTCTTAATGATAAATGTCGAATCTCTTTTAGCAAAATTAAATTGATGCAGCAATGTTGCAACATGAAAAAAAATGAAAAAAAGATAAAAGTCCGTTATATTGGAATCGGAAAACAATTAAATATCTTAAAATATTTCTATAGCTTATCGATTTGAATATGTAAAGGGAGCTACTACGTAATATACGCACATATTTACGTATAATTGATTCCGGAACCGTAATATTGAAATAATTTTCGACTCATAAAAATTTATCGAATAAAATGCCTTTGAAACTTAAAAATATTATAATTTACATTATTTACATAAAAGAAAATAAATATTAAACTAAACACATGCTGTGTGTGTAAATTTATAGTACTAATTTTAACAGATATCTTTGGCTGATTTAATACTTTAATTGATAATTCAGTAATTCTAACACTAAATAAAATATTGTAAAAGGAAAGAAGTATCGTATATTAATTTTCTCAAACATTAAATTAAATTAAAGATAATTTAACAATTCTTACTGCACAATAAAATCTATTGGCAATGATTTAATAATTTTTATTTTAAAATTGATAATTCATCAAATAATTCTATTTTCACATTTAATCACTAATAAATAAAATATTTGAATAAAAAGGAAAGAAGCTATCGTATATTAATTTTCTCAAACATTTAATTTATCAAATATAAAGATAATATAAAGTAAAATTTAATTCAATTATCTTGCACAATTAAAATCAATTTAATATTTCTCACATATTGCCAAGAATTTTAAATTTTTGAGACACATATAAAAGAGCACAATATCAACGCGCAATTGAGTATCAAATTTTTATTAAATTAAAAAATATTTTTATTTCTATACAGCTATATAAATCATTTATTTGATACAAATAAATATTTATCTGTATTGAAAAGAATTTTCTTACATCAAACAATAAATATTTTTCACATTTAATCGATATTATTAGTTTCAAATAAATATTTTTTATTATACAGGAGTATTGAATTAAATATTTTATTTAAATTAATAAAAATTTCATTGCGCTATCAGAGAGATTTGATAAAATAAACTTTGTTAAAAATTTTAGAGGCCTTCTATGTATAACATAATATATGTTCGGAAGATAAAAATATAATAATTATTATATAATTATCAATTATAGAATATTTTAATTTTTCAAAGAAATTCGCAATATAAAGTCGCAGCAATTGTTGTCACATCTGGTTTGATGTATCGCGATAGTTCATCGGAAAGTCACGATTTATAATCAAAATTGTATTCTATTTTGGCTTTATCCTTAGTTTATTTATTTAAAAAGCACAATATTGTGCATAAAGACATTTATATAAATAAATATATATATCGAACAAAATATAAAATAATATATTTTAATAACGTATTGTTGTTATTTCAGAACCAAGGTTTCTCTTCCGAAAAATATACTTTATACAATATTTATAGAATTTAAAAGGAGCGTCGTGTCGTAAGTACATGGTGTTATTTCAAATAGAGTATTTTTGAGATTTGATAGTTATCATTATTTTTAAACGTTTTATGTTCTTTTCTAACAAAAATATAAAACATCTCGTAATATGTATTTATCTTTCAATATTATTTTATTTTAATAAACTTCTGCACAAAATAATGTGGATAAATTAATTGGTATAAGAAACACATTCCAGTGATTTAAAAAAATTGCAATTCGTAGCAATGTGCAACTACATACATTTTTAAAATAATGATATATTTATAATATTGAATTCTATTACTATTTTGTGCAAAAATTATTAAGATAAAATTATCGAAGGATGAATATAAAAATTTAAATGGGCAAAATTTCAATGTGTTCAATTAAGACAACAGTTACACAAAAATGCCGCCACACACACAAATATACATATGTAAATATATATACATATAACGACCAAAAAAATTGCAATTTATAGCAATGTGCATTTGCATACATTTATATTAAATAATGACATATTTATACTAATTGAATTATTAAGATAAAATTATCGAAGGATGAGTATATGACGAGAAAGTACACAATATTTTTAGCAAATATCTTTTTGAAATAAGTCATATAAATGTGTATATAAATAATGCCTAATACTATTTGATTAATTGGGCAAAAGTTAAATGTGCTAAATTAAATCAACCGTTACAAACAAATGCCGCCATACACCCAATATATATATATATATATATATATATATATATAATATATATAAACGACCTTAGAAGTTTTGTTGATTTAACACATCATATTTAGCATGAAGACACGAACAGAGAATCAGTCAGTCTTTCGTGGCCTTTCAAACCACGTCGCCGTAGATATAATACTTTTATTAAAGTGTGTGAATTATATTATATTTTTCCAACATTGAATATTTCTAAAGCATTATTTGCTGTAGTTCATTTTTAACACGATATATAACTTTCCAATTAACATTCTGTTTCGAAATATTCGGTAAGTCAAAACAATTTTCATACATATAAAACATATATGTGTCTACGAATTCAAGAAAATTTAATCATACGGTAGGACGGAATTTTATAGAATTTCCAACATATGTATAGAAATAGAGAGAATGGTTTCATTTAAAATTATTTGTAAATTTTAATCCAAAGATAATTTCAAATAATATCGATAATATAATATTTTACGAATTGTTTTAATAATTATATATTAATTATAAATTCTAGAGTAAAATGATAGAACGTTCTAATTATCAATCTAATGAAAAAATCCATAATATAGTTTTGGGACACATTGTATACTTATATGTATATAGAGATTTATTATCAAGTTTATAATTTATATTTATAATTGATTTTATGTTGGTTTTATTCTCGGTGATTGTTTGTTTGGGATTTATATAATACACAATTTAAGAAAAAAACACCAACCTTTAAAGGATAATAATAATAAACATATGCTCTCTCTTTTATTATCAAAAAATAATATAACTTCGTTTCGCGCACGTAATTATATTCGATTAAATTGAACGAAATAAAAATATATATATAAAGAGATACAAAGTAGGATGTATACAAAATAGTTGTCAGAATAGAAATTCGGCGAATTAAAATTATGTACATAATTAAAATTCGGCGAATTAAAATTATGATCATATTCATAGCATCAAGCAACTGTCATCGTCAAAATTAATAATTTAACCATTGTAAAATAAATAATAGAAATAATATCAAAAACGCGCGCGAAACGCCTTGTTATTGTGTCGTCTAGTGTGATTTAAAAAAGACATCAAAACTATATTTAATTTCTCTATTTATCTTTTGTTTACAGTGTGTTTTACAATAAATATTCCTTTTCTCCGACATGATGATATTTCTAAACCTATTATTAAGTAGCGGATTAATATTTATCGCTGAGACGGCTTCTATTCGTAATGAATCTTTATGTTATCGACCATCAAAATATATAAAACCAACGCATTACGATATCAAGCATATATTATACATTGAAGGAAATATTATCTATGGAGAATACAATATCAGCATAAACATTCTTAGCAAAACGCAACACATATATTTACCTTCAGTAAAATTATGTATTGAAAACATAGTTTTATTTAAAAGTTTGGGAAAATCTCATAAAAATGATAGACATTTTACAATAATGTATAAACCGACGTATAATATTAAAGCAAACATAATTGACGTTTTCTTTATGGATGATTTATCACCAGGAAATTACACTTTATATATAAAATATATAGATACAGCTGATGAAGGTTTCACAATTTTTGACGTGAAAGAAAGATCTGCGTAAGTAAATAACAAATGTTTATTAAAAAAGTACAATCTGCAATTAAATAAATTATCGTAATTAATATATTTTTTTAATTAATACATTATTTTAATTAATATATTGTTGTAATTAATAATAGATTATTTAGGTATTAAAGTATCCCAAGTATTATTACATATCGTGGAATTCAAATATAAAAGACGAACAATCTCTCTTTACCTTTATTATTATAATATATGTAATAAAGTCAAATATATATTATACGTTGACGCATATTATACATTTATGGATTTTTTAACTCTCAATATTTTTATGCTTACCAAAAATGTCTCATTAATTACTGTACTTTGAAATGTAGTTGGATAGCTACTACGCATTTCCAGATAATAGATGCCGGATTGTTTCCATGTCGGCAACAGGAGTTATTAGAAGCAACCTTTAAGATTTCTATAAGATGTAACCAATGCATGGTTTTGTCAAATATTCCATTGCGAAATACGGAACAAATTGTGAATAATATGTTATGGACACACTCCTTTATCACATATGCAATGTCGCCTTATCTTGCAACAATAATTGTATCCAATTACCTATTACGTGTTTATAATGATACTCAAAACATTGAAGTGTGGTGCAGAAACGAATTTGTAATTCACTTTGAATTTGCAAAAAATGTAGCTGAAAATATCACTAAAAAAATCATTAAAAATAAATGGAAACAACGTGTGAACAATTTTTTTAAGGTGACTCACGTTGCAATTCCAAATTTCCATGACAATGGCATAACAGTTTTCGGACTTGTTTTTTACAAGTGAGTACAAGTGCTTAAGATTACATTAAAAACAAAATTATATTAGTATGCATGCAAAATGATAAAGTTTAAAAACATGTATATCTTTATTCTGTTTCTGTAAATGTTCGATAGTATAAGAAATTGGGAAAACAAACAATTTTAAGTAGTAAGAAGTAAGTTTATTCGTATTATAATTCAAAAAGTTGAAGTTTATTGTTTTAATATACATACATACATATAATGGGAAAAGTTTTTATGCTATATCGTATCCCCTAAATGCTAAAATTGTAATAAAGCTATAAAAAAATGACATTTTTTTATTTATTTAAAACTGTAGTTTTTTATCAATGATATACGCATTAATACAAAATCATTGTTTTAAACTTAAATTAAAAATTAAGGAAACATTATTTGGTACGAGTTACAATACTGATTTGCTAAATTGTACCCATGAGTTTGTAAATCGTACCTCTAACAATAAAATTTAAAAATTGTAACAAAAATATAAAGATTTATTTTTTACGAAAGTTCTCAATCTGAACGTTCAAATATAATTTTCAGGGAAACAGATATCATCAATAGTAAAGATATATATCCTGTTACTCGCGACATCGAAGTTACTCAATTAGTAGGACGTAAAGTGATAGAAGAATGGTTTTATGATCTAATGAACCATCCGTTAGTATCGGATTTTTGGTTTAATAATGGTCTTGTTACTTTGATTGCAATGTATACTGTCAATGAGGTATTATGTTAAAAACATTCAACATTATGTAAAATACTAAACTGTTTTAAAAAAATACTTTTTCCAAATATTTACATACATATCATTATAATGTAAAATATTAAAAATTCTTTTATTTTTAAAAAATTAGTACATACATTTATTTAAATTAGCTTGATAAAGAGAAATCTGCAATATAATATTATAAGCTAATAATTCTACAAAAGTATATAATATTTACTAATTATATTAATACAAAATTTTAGATTTTATTACTATATTTATTTGTATGTATATATTTCAAAATGAGAAAATGTTTCTTTTTAACATAGAAGAACCGCTAACAATATTAGCATTTCCTTCTAATGCAAGTATTTTTAGAGCGGTTATATCGATATATTAATTATTTTTTTTACAGATTTATCCTGATAATCGAATAATAAATTTATTTGTTGTTCAAAATCAACATACTTCTTTTTATTTGGATGATTATGATATGGAGAATTCTACTTCACAATATGACAGTTTATTAAAAATTCGCCGATCCATCAGAGGTATAACGTAAAATAATTAAATAGTCCGTGTACATTTCTAATTACTAATATTATAAAAATATGTGTAAAGTTATAAAGTAATTAGTTCTTTATTTTTTTTGGATTCTAATTAAATATTAATTTTGTAAAAGTATATACACAAACACATTCGCGCTCATGTCCGTGTGTGGATACGTATGTATATATTCTTTAATTAATATTTGAATATTAATTAATGGTTATGCGATTATATACTATACCTTGTATACATACATGTATATATATATATATATATATATATATGTATATATTTATATTTATATTTATATAATTCTTTATAATATTACTATGTTAAAATACGTGACCATTATAACAAATATATATTTATAATATATCTAATTTACAATTTTAATGTAAATTGTAGCACCCTGTATACTGCGCATGATGCAACACGTCTTCACCGATGAAATATTTTGGAAAGGCGTTCGCTCGTATAGAAATAACACGTGAGTAATACAATATAAAATGTAATATAAAAACATAAAATTATATAAATCTTAAATAATTTATAATAATACAAATATTATAGAATGTCCCTTATTATTTCGCTTCTTCTGACATTTTCGTATTGTTTTCTTTTAGTTTTACAATTTCGCTATTTTCCTAGATCTGCTACTAGACTTATTTTTACTTTCATTACTTTTATTATGAAAACCGCTTTTGTTGAAACAAATTGTTGTTCTGTTACTTTTTCATATATACATATTCAATATTGTTTTTTTTGTTTCAATTTCTTATTTTTCATAATAATTTTTTAATTAATTTTTATTCTTTTTATTATTTCCTTTATTTCTTTCTATCGTGTATTATTTTTATGTGTTCTTTTTATTAAATTTTGTGCTACATTCGTTTTTTAATCTTATTTTAAATATATCTAACACGTATATCTCTTTTGCATTGCTTTCTTTATTTTCATTTCATTTTTTTTCGTAGAACGATTTCTTTTATTATATGTTTTTCATTTTTTGTGCTTTCTTTATCTTCAATTTATTTGTTTTGTTATTTCTTTTATTAATCATTTTATAACTCTTTCAATACCTTGATCAAATATAATCTATATTATTAATACCTAACAAATCAAATAAAATTATTAAATTTTATTCAATATTATGTTATTATCATCATATAAATATAAGATATATATTTAGGTGCGTTCTTGTTCGTCAATTATGTTTCACCGTTATCGCGGATTGAGTGAGGATATTTTATCCGGAATATTAATTTGAGGTTGCACAGTATAATGTATCTTACTTCATTTTATTTGTGTCACAAAAGACCTGATACAAACTTTAACTTTTCGCCGGGAAACAAAACGTGTTACGCGAACGCAAGTCTCTGGCCTCGAGGCCGCGCATTGTCTCGCTTCTCTCCATCATTCCGCGATCTTATTTTATTTTTAGGTGATTAGACTCTATCTTTATTTTGAGGTACTCTCGCTTTTTATTATGTTCGGTAATCGAAATTTACTTTCGTCATGTTAGTCGCTCGTTTATTTATTTATTGTTTTGTGTTACCGGTCGCGATATCCTTAACACACGTCGCTTGTAATTTTATTTTTATTTTGTATATATTTTATATGCTTGTGGCATTTATTGCCACATATAAATATATAAATAGAAGTGCAATTATATTTTGCTTCTTAGAATTTATTAAAATTTTTTTTAATATTAAAATTATACATGCAATTTTAACATATTTATAATGTTTTCTTTACATAATTTACATACTTTGTGAATTTAGCCAATTTCATCGTCAAAGTTTTATGACTTTTTTGGAAGAAGTTGTTGCTGATGCAAAAAATGTAGATACTGAAATATCATTACAAACAATGGAATATTGGACTTTGGAAGAGCATTGTCCTCTCATCAAAGTAGTACGAAATTATAGTGATCATGGGAGCTACATACATGTATCGGTACAAAATTACGACACATTAGAAATTGATTGCATTCCTGTAACTTTTACGACCCAGACGTATACCAATTTTAACAATTTTACTCACTACTGGCTATGCAAATCATGGGATTTAAATTCAACAAACTCATTTCTTGAGAATGGTTGGATGATATTCAATATACAACAAATTGGTAATTATCGACCAATTGACTTATTATTATGACTTATTACTCGTCTTTATTTTACACACACAATTGACATTATTTTATATTTTTTCTGTTTTATACAGTACTATATAAAAATTAGAGATATTCATTATATATTCATTATATAAACTACAATAGTTTTAAAATGCTTTGTGTAATGTTCTGTGTTCTGTATTATAATATATAATTAATAAGATATATATATATATATATATATATATATATATATATATAGGCGTTTTCTACGTAATATCAATATTAAAGTTATATTTTTACAAATATTTTATTCTAATAACAGTAAAAATGATTAAAAAGTTAACTATATTTATAAAATTAGTATACTAATATAAGTATACAGATAAAATAAAATATATATATGCACAACTAGAATCAATTTTATTTTATGCTATACAACAATATCTCGCACAATTTCATTTTTAATTTATAATTAATTTTAAATATGTATTTGCAATTTATTGAATATTTTATACGTTTTTAATTTATAATTTATATAAATAAAAATATTAAACAAAAATGTTTGAAATTAAGTGTATATTAATAATAAAAATTATTCAAAATAATAAAAATTGTTAAAATTTATTTATTATTCAACAGGATATTACCGCGTTAACTATGATAATGAAAATTGGCGAAGAATTTCAGATTATCTATACAATGATGATTTTACGACAATTCATGTTCTTAATCGTGCCCAAATTATCGATGATGCATTTCATTTAGTGATAGCAGGTCACCTCAACGCCTCTATATTCTGGAGTATCACATCGTATTTGGATAGAGAAATAGATTATATCGCATGGTATCCTATGTTTAAAGCTCTGGAAACATGTTTAGTACTTTTCCAGTGGAAAAAAAAACTGAAAAATTTGCGGTAAATACTAATCAATTTCAATGAAAGTATTACATTTGAATATTTATATATACACTGATTGATCACAAATAATTTAAATATTATAGAGAAATATATCTAGCGATAAAGTTTTACATATTATTACGTCTCACATAAATGTGCAAACTAATTCAGTTTGAATAATCACTCACGCGATAAACAGTTCCCAAAGTGTATGATTTTCACTACTGTGAATAATATTAATATATAACATTGTTATTGGATACATAGCTGGATGCTTAAAATCTTTGTCGATAAATTATAATTATAAACATATTAATAAAGAAATTTATATTTAATGATTTTTAGGATAGAATAGATAAGCTAAAATTCATGTTAAACGAGTTACTTGAAAAAATCCAATATGAAGAAATTGATGATGCAGACGAACTTAGAATATGTTTACGACAAGAAGCTGCAAGATGGGCATGTTTTTTTGGTCACACCATTTGTATAGAAAAAGCAAAAATAAATTAGAAGAACATATCAAAGATCCTATAAAACACAAGTAATATTGTTATATATATTTAGCTTTTGTAATCAAATTTCCTTGTAGATATCTTTTATAATGTTCAAATGAATTAATACGAAAATCTTTAATAAGAAAATTAAATTCAATTTATATTTTAGACTTTTGCCATGGTGGAAGACATGGACATATTGTAGAGGTTTGATGATAACTACGAGAAATGAGACCACTTTTGGATCAGTGTATACCATAGGAGTAAAGAAAGCTGACTATAAATTTTCAGAATACTTGGCTTGCATTGGAGATACTGATTTCATCAAATACTATTTTAGTTATAAACACTACATTAATACAAAACTGGAAAATCGATTTCTCGTTAACACATTCTTACATTTTATTACGAAGCATGCGAAGAATCCTATTATACTGCAGTATATATTCGATAATTTTAACGAAATAAAACCAAAGTAAAGTGACATATTTTTATAAATATTTTGTACAAGTTTATTATATGTATTAGATATATACATCCATTTTTTTGTTTTGTAGAAATGTTAATATCATTGCAGCATTAGTATATAATTTATAATGTATATTCCGAAAATGTACTAGGGAAAAATTTTACATGTTTAATAGTATACAAAACTATGATAATAATGCGATAATTTAATAATTATTATTTTAATATTTAATAATAATTTTGATA